ACCACTTGACGACTCCAGCGATGTAGCCCGGTGGGCTTCAGAGTCGAGGACAGCCTCCCCTTTCGGTTTCCTTCACCTCCTGTCTGAGTGTCCCGATGGTTAGCCTCACAGTGTAGCCCCATTCACTCCTTATCACACGGGTTTCTCACCAGAGCAGACTTCCTCACTATTCGTGCCTGAGTCGTCCAGGTCTCAGAGTATTGGAGCATCATTCGGTGAGTTGACCGGCATGCCTACTCCGCCTCACATGCATGCTGCCGTCCGTCTCTGACACCTCCAGCTATCATGACTACTCAGAGGCTCCCCCACGTCCTGCATCGCCTCGTCGAGATCCTCAGCAGATATACTTGCAGCTTCACAGCAAAGACACCGCCCCAGCTTAGACCAGACCGTTTGGCACACTTCCCCTTGGAGGGTCGGTCGATTCAGAGCTCGGGTCGATGATGATGGCGCCTGGTTCCATCTTGCTCCACGTGCTTGGCCCCGACTTGTCCGGCTGCTGCAGTCCATAAATCCGACCCCTAGGTTTTGGTGTTTGACGCCAAAGGGAGAGAGGGTTTGAGTATGTAGACTTAGGGGGAGCGAGTTTTAGTGGGAGCTAGTTATCTAGTATTAGCTTATTATATACTTTTGGACTTTTATTTGTGTGATACACTATTACTTATGCATTCGTGTGTTTACTTTCATGCATACTATTATTTATATGTGATAGTGCTATCTACGTGATTGTGATATTTGACATGTGTGACTTCTACTTTGCTTTATCTATATGTCATATCACTTGTGTGATGCTCATTTGATTTTGCTTCCGCGTTTATACTTTGAAGCAAATGAGCTTTGTTATTTGTACTCATGCTTAATCCATATTCTTTGAGTACATTGTGTTGGCTTGGGTCATATAAGCTTGACTAACTCTTTTGTTCTTATTGACAAAAGCTTATATGAACCAAGCCCGTCAAAAACCTCACTCCATAACATACTCGAGGTGGTGTTGTCATCAATCACCAAAAAGGGGGAGATTGAAAGCATCTAGGCCCCTAGTTGGATTTCGATGATTGATGTCAATACAAGATTACTATGACTAACGTGTGTTTTGCAGAGGCAATTAAGTTAGGTCATGGTAATGGAGATCGATTGGGCAATTGAGGTTGTCATGCCCCTACGATGGAAATCATTTCGGTTTTCAAAGGATGGACGACAAGGTTAAGGATAACTAGTTCTAAGTGTCAATTGAAGTTGGAGAGACACTTAGAGTAGTTTAGGACTTTGTTTTTTCCTTTGGCCGTACTATGAAGGGGGGTATGAACGGGTAGCTTGACCTAGTTAAGTCTAGTGAGTTAGGTGTGGTGCACACTTGTTTAAACTAGCTCTAGGTAGCTCCTATGAATGCCTAAGATCTTTTGGAGCAAAATTCATTCACATATATTCGGAAGTTGGAAGTGAATGGAGGGTCAAACACTGACCGGACGCTGGCTCCGGTGCGACCGGACGCTGGCCGCAGGGTCCGGTCAGTTCATTTGATGAGGTGATCAAATCGATGTGACCGGACGGCCGAGGACCAGCGTCCGGTCGACTCCAATGAGGGTCGAGACTTGGGAAAGAGTGACCGGACGCGTCCGGTCGGTCTTAACCGGACCACGAGGGTTCGGCGTCCGGTCGAGTCCAAAGAAGGTTCCATAAAGGTTTTATGCGACCGGACGCGTCCGGTCGGTCAAGTGAGACCGGACCTCGCCAGGTCCGGTCGACTCTTTATATATCTGTTCATGCGGTTGAACTGGCCGGGCGTCCGGTCATCACGATCGGAGCGTCCGGTCGTCCCGTAGAAGCTCATAACGGTTCGTTTTTCAGGCTGGCTTATAAATAGAAGGTCCACTCGTGAGTGGAGCATCTTTTGCTCATTCCAACAGCTGAGAAACACGTTTGTGAGTGCCAAGAAGAGCAAGGTCCTAGTGAGGTGTTTGTGATTTGAGAATCCAAGAGAGTAGCCTCACTAGCAAATCAAGAGTAGCAAAGTGTGCATCCATCTTCTCATTAGGCTTCGTGGTCAAGTGAGAGTTCGTGCTTGTTACTCTTGGTGATCGCCATCACCTAGACGGCTTGGTGGTGATTGGGAGTTTGGTGTTCACCGGCCGGAGCTTGTGGGTGACCCAACTCAAGTTGTGAGCGGTTTTGGGTGATTCGCGCCGACGGAGTGTCGAAGAATCAACCGTGAGAGAGCACTTGATCCTTGCGCGGATCAAGGGGAGCTACACCCTTGCGGGTGCTCCAACGAGGACTAGTGGGGAGTGGCGACTCTCCGATACCTCGGCAAAACATCGCCGCGTTCTTTTCTCTCTCTATTTACGTTGAGCACTTGCTTTGAGTATTTACTTTGAGCATTTCAATACTTGTCTTACATCCATAGATTTGCTTGCTAGAGTAAGTTTGGAACGTTGGTTGCGAGGCTGTTGTGCATTAGTTTGATATAAACACTTTTTAGGCACAAGGGGTTAATTGGGCTATCCGTAGGATTTGATTATTGCAAGAAAATTTAGAGTTAGCCCAATTCACCCCCCTCTTGGGCATCTTGATCCTTTCAAACATGGCACACTAGGGTGGGGGTGTTAGTGTTATACAATCGGCTCTGTCCTCCCTAGCATAAGAAGATCATGGGCTATTACTCGCTAATCATACTACCTAGCCATCCTCGTCGATCAGACGCGCGGGCATGCGCGGCGCGTCGCTCGCTCTCCTTGCGGGTCCGGGAAGAGCTGTCGCATTGCCTCACCATACGAGGGGTTGAGCTGGTCGACGAAGATACTGTTGTAGGTGTCCTTGGAAGGCCTCGCCTGCCCGTTGAGGTAGCCCATCCGCTTAATCACCAGCACCTCTCCCCGTTTAGAAGCCGGACACGTGAAAGCGCCTGAGCGGCAATCCTGCTGCTGCGAGTCGGCAACTTTGGTTGTGCCTCCACGTCATGAATATTAATATTAAAAAAAAAACTTCGTCAAACTTAAAATGATTTGACTCGATACTACGCTAGACATTATTTTCTGGATGAAGGGAATACTTGGTAGGGCTGCTCCCCGTCCCTGGCTTCGGCTTTGGCTTCTCCAGAGGAGCTTTACCAAATGTTTTGTAGGATGAGCCGTTTTTTTAGTGAAAAATAAAGAAGCCCCTTAGGAGGCCGGAGCCCTGCCAATCACCCCTAAATTTTAGGAATCCCAAATAAGAAGGGCCCTTGTCCTTTTGATAATTGAGTTGTTGCTACCAGGTACAAGATTTTCCTTTTTGGGTAACACAATACGGGCAATATTTTATCTTCATGGCACAAAGAAATCCTCATAACTGGAAGAAAGAAAATAAAAAGCATCATAATACGTTTTTTGACGCTAAATATTACAGGGATTAGTAGCTAACCTTTGGCATTTGGCAACCATAAAAGTGGTTTGGTATTCAGTTGCTGTACACTTGGTGAGCATATTTGAAGATGCTAAGCCAGTAATTAAGGGTTTGTTTGGACCATTATTACTAATTTTAGATGCTAACAATTAGCACTAATAATGAATCAAACAAGCCATAACTAAACAATATGGCTAATGGGATTCTCCGCGGAGCGCTCGTAATAAGGCCGCTTCGTTGCCAGCTCCGCGCGCGAGCCCTGGAACACCGAGGCACGGAGTCATTGGCACGACCGCGCCCGACCGACGTACGTACGCCCGGCCGAATACCGGCTGGGCTGCTGGCGCGCCGCGTGGGCGACACTTGAGAGTCGAGACGTGCGGCCGTGCGCGCAGTGGGTCGACGTGTGGCCGTCTGGGATGGACATGGACTGAACGTGTGGAGGGCGGGCGCGCCCGTAGAATGCTTCAGGCTCGAAACGCGATGAGCACGTACGGGTGGCTAGCCGTAGCCAGTAAAAACGCACGGACGTCTTCGGTCTTCACATGTGGAATGCGCCGGGCCGCCCGGCCGCTTGTACGGGGCCTGCGCCACGTACCGTTTTGGATTTCAGCACACTGGCGGTGATGCCGTCCCGCGCGGAGCTGAGTCGCGACGATGTCTGGTGCGGACCGCGGCCGTGCGTCATGTGCAGCTGCGTCCTGCGTGCGTGCGTGCGTGTGCGTGTGATGACATCGCTGTTTGCTGGTCCGGTCCAAGTTGCGTGATGGGGTTGCCAGTTGCCAACGACCAGTCGACCAGAAATCCAGAATGGTATGAGAGTATGATCAGATCCTTCAGGAGTTGAAGAACCAAAGGCTCGCCCTCATGGCCAGAGGGACTTACCCTGGCTGTGAAAGGAGTACTTCTCAACATCATTCAACAAGTTAATTAACTAATAAGCTTGCCGAGTTAGACCAGATCAAGTAAAAAAACAGTTTAAAAAAAATCTTCTATTTGCTTTTGTATACTGGCGTAGTATCATGTATTGCCTTCATCCCAAGTCAACATGTATTCCAAATGAATGCAGATGGAAGATAAAAAGGAAACGAAAAGGAGAAAGAATCACTTCCTAGTGATCTGATACCGACAGGAATTTAAAACAAAACAAAAGCTCACCCTGGCAGCATTCAAAGGGCCCGTTTGGCACAGCTCAACTTCACTAGTGAAGCTGTTTTTTTTTAAACAGCTTTATGAGTAAATTTCTAGGTAAAACTGAGCTGTTTTCGAAAAACTGTTTGGCAAAACAGCTTCACCAACAACTTCATACATGGATGGGAGGAAGAAATGAGGGAGAGAGCTAGGATAAGCTATTTTTTTTAGCTTCATCCCAACTCATATTTTTGTAAGAGGAGGTAAAAAACAACTTCATGAGTGAAACTATTTTGAAAATAAATGTTTGACAAATAAAACAGCTCACAACATCTTATGTGAAGTTGTTGTGAGCTGTGCCAGGCCCAAATGCTACAAGCAAAAGGCATTATGCAGTTCAAGATACCAAGGAACACAATTCCTAGGCACCATATGCTTCCCACATTTTGCAGGTAATGGCGTATGACCTCTTCCAGATGCCTATCATATCATACATCAATAATGTCTTCTTGGCTTGTTCTATTGCTGCTCACGTCCGGAAGCGACGAGGAGGAGAATCGGTGATATCTGTAGTTATCCAAGGACGCCACAGGCTGCTGCGGATTCAGGGTTGGTGGCGGTGTGAGGTTTCTCTGCGCTGGGAGTGGGACTACTCCATTGTACAAAAACCCCTCACCGCTAAGGCTGCACAAAATTATGGTTACATTTTTGCAACCAACGTCGCAATTACGCACAGATGAATAAAGTATTCCCCATTTATGTCCTCGTTCTGTTTGGTTCATTTGAGCTTTGTTTTTTAGGGTGACTTTTTTCATGTTAGGCATGCTCACCTTTTCCTTTGGAAGCTATCGACGCCACCTCCAAGACTCTCCACAGGAAGGATAGTATCTTCTCTTGGAGTAAGGGACCAGGGACTTGGGGCAGGAGGTTCGTTTGAAAAGTATCTTCTTCTGATAAGCTGAAAAATGCATTTCAGTAGCATTATATTAAAGGTGAAATATACAAAGCGAAAAAATAAACCAATGAAACTCTTATAATAACTAACCAAGCGGAAAAACTTGGTCACAGCTTCTTTGTCATATCTTGCTTGTTTAGCAGCCTAGAAACAAATCATACATGTTACTGCATCACATTCCATAAGAGAAAATGAAGCCCTCAGAGACGAGTGTAGGATGTTAATAAGAGATCTAACCGACACAAGACCGGAGTTCCCAGGAAAGCTCTCTGTGAGTGGAAGTTCTTCGCTGCATCGAAGAAGGCCCTGCTTCTCAGCCCATTGGCGAGCAAGATCAACAAGATTCCCCCTGATTGCTCTTGTCCCATCTCTTGGAACGATATCCACTTTATTAGCAATTACCAGATAAGGCACCGGAAGTCCTCCTGGTCCACCAGATCCCAATGGAGCTGAAAATGTGCCAGTTTCAGCAACTTCAACTGCCCATTTATTCAAATTTGTCTTGGTCTTCCTCTGAGAGAGATCATAAACAAATATGACACCTGATGGATAATTTTGGAAATGGTGAATTTGATGTTTAGTATTGATCGATAAGTAAGATAACTAGAAAGGACAGAGGTTTCCCTATTTAAGATATTCTGACAGCTGGCAAGACTAAAGTGGGAAGAAATTTAGAACCAAAGTAGAAATAAAGCAAAGAACTGACAGAAATGATATAGACATGCACCGGGTGTGGATCAACAACTGCTAAAGGTAGCCTATGCAGATTGAAGCATTGACACTAGAAAATATAATAAATAGGCCTACTGCAAACATAGGAAAGATCCACATGCCCACATAGGAAAGATCGCCAAAGATGCTTAAAAAGATCGCCAAACATGCCCACAGTAATATGTTGGAAATAAAAAGAGTGACACAGCATGTACCATTGATTTGTGTATAGAAAATCGACCGGCATGCCTTGTACCGTTCATGTCCTGAGACATCCCAAAGCTCAACAAAGAACTTCCTTTCAGCATCACTGATGTTATTTGATGAACCGCCCGCACTTCCAAAAGTAACATGCTGAATGGTAAGCAGAAAAAGGAGTGTAATTAGACACAAATTGCAAACCCTACAAGTGACGAAAGCACAGAAAATACTCACTTTAACGCCCACAGTGCATCCTACTGTTTGAGCTGGTCGAGCAATAGCAGAACTTTTTAAAATGAGATGCACCAATGAAGATTTCCCAACACCTGAGAAGGGGGAAAGGACAATGCATACAGCTAAAGAACTATAGCCAGCAGTGTAAAATTTAAAATCGTGCAACTTTATTGTGGACTGTTTAGTTGCCACTTGCCAGTTCTGTAAGCACACAATATAACATTTAAGATTAAAGCAAGGAATGTAATTGAACATTTGAACTTATTCATCAAGGAAAAAATTAACAGAGTAGCCGTTGAAGGTCTCAGCTGGTGTCAGGGCAGGATGCGGCAATATCATTTGCAATACAATAATGGCTTTTATATTCCTTTTGTCATGTAAGTTGCAGGCCGAATGGTCCAACACGAAACTATCTGTGACTTTGTTGTTATTTCTTAGTACTTAATGAATCATGCGCATTACATATTCTCGAAAACAAAACAGATAATTAGCAAAGCTCAGTTTGTTCTATGCTGCTTTCTTTTTTTATGGTAGGTCTTACTTCAAGATATTATTCCATAACACGATATAGAACAGGATAGGCAACGCAATCTTCAAAGAGAGATATTACAGCCATTTAAAAGTTGCACATATGCTTAGGAGAAGTGAAGGAGTCAATGTCGTGGGTATTCTTGCCAAAGGTTCACAAGGATCAAGCTTCCAGGCTGAAGACAGCAAAGCTCCAAGAAGGGTTTAGTCTCGGTACAGTTACCACAACGTGCCACCAATAAAGGTGCCATATTTCTATTAACATTAAGATGCCAGGGTGGGTGCCTGATGAGCACCCCTGAACAATTCCAACCAGAGTTTCAGATACTGGAATCAGGTTCAGAACCAGACACTGGTCAGTTAGCAATTGGCGGTTAGTCTGCTTTCAAGTATGAATAGAACAGCTGAACTTGGTTAGATTAGGTGACAGACTAGTCAAGGATTTCAAATGCATGTGTGATTCTGATTTTAGTGACTTAATATGATGACAGCTTCCATTTTACAGATCGGAAAATCCCAATCCTGACAAGGCAAACAAGTGCAGCCGCATCACATGACCTCCATTCCATTGGTGTAGGACTGTAGGACATACTACTGGCCCCGTTCGGCTTGCTGAAACTTGGCTGAATTGGCTGAAAACACAGTTCTGGCTGAATTGTTGTGAGAGAAAAACATTGTTCCGGCTGAAAAAACAAGCTGAATAGTGTGGATTATAAGGTAAGCCGAACAGGGCCTCAACATAAATACTACTAGGACTTACTTCAATATTTATCCATAATATGATGCAGAGCAGGATAAGCAATTCAATCTTCAAAGAGAAATGCTATAGAGTTACAACTCTTTAAAAGCTACACATATGCTTATGAAGGAACTAAACACAATGATGTTTCAGGCATTATTGCACATAAGGTTCATGGCCATCAAAGCTTCCAGTTTAAAGATAACATAGCTCCAAGAAAGGGTTCAGTTCCGGATTACTTAGGACAACAGAGCACCAGTAAAGGGGCCATATTTCTGTGAAGATGCTAGGGTCAGTCCTTGATCGATAATTGAATCAGTGAGCATCCAACCAGAATAAATTTCCATCCAGGGCTTCAGATATTGGGACCAGGTTAGAAACCAGAAATGACCAGATGGAAATTTGCAGTTACTGCTTTTAAGTATGAAATAGGATATCAAAGTTTAGTTTGAAGTATGAATAGAGAAATTTGTTGTTAGTGCTTTTGAGTAACTGAAATTTGGTAGCATTAGGTGATGAGCTAGGTTGGGATTGAGAAACTGCGATTTCAGTTACTCTGTACCATGACTATCCCCATTGTACAGTTCGGAAAATCCTCGTCCCCACAAGAAAAACTAATGTGGCTGCATCAGCTGATTTCAATTCGCCTAGTCTTATACTCTACTCCATGTGCTTGGTTAACGACATGAGCCTGTATCCAGGTCTGTGCATTGCAGCTTGTCTATGTAAGCTTGCACAGTTCTCAAAACAGTGCAGATTAACTAGTATGCCAGATTTAGATTTACACAAGCCGATGGGGCACACAATAATGAAATATTGTCACCTCCCCTGCCTCTACTACTACTAGAAACAGGAGACTACTTCTGGAATATGGAGGTAACAAGCACAATTACTAAACACGGTTTGCTTGTGCAGGACGACCAAACAGAAACAGCGAGATATTGCATATGTTTATGCTGACTTGGATTGTGCTGCATAAGATCTAACAAATCACACCATACAACATTGATACAGCTGCTGACTGCACCTAAATCCCAGCCCAATTCACACTGTCGGAACAGATCACGTTAGCATGCGTCACGTTGATACAGGAACATTCCATGCTGAAACTTAACAGTCCATTTGGGAACATTTTCATATTCCGAAACACCAGACAGACGATTGACAGTTAATATGATCGCCTATCATGTTCTCGGATTCTCGAAACGTTCGTCATGTATCAGGTTCAGGACAAGTCGCGAAGGCACACCTGAATCACCGACGATGAGGACGCGCACTTGGCCGAAGGGGCCAACGCCGTTCTGATCCCGACCGCTGCCGCTGCTGCTCCGGCAGCCGCTATCCTTCCAAAACATCGCCGCCGCCGCCGCCGCCGCTCGAACACGACGCCGCCGAAAAAAGAGCCTCGGTGGTTAGGTCTCTGGTCTCCGGATCAGACCTCGACAAGACCCACCCTCATTGGCGCAATTCGCTGCGACGGGAAGGAAGGGGATGGTACCTCCTCAGCCGTGGAGGGGTGGAGTGGAGGGCTCGGGGCTTCGGGCACCGACAACAGAGGCCGGGAATGGCCGCGACAGCGTGGCGAAAGACGTGAATGGTGAATCTCATCTCCTTTTGTCTTTGGTTTCAAGCTGATTGCACTTTACGGGTACGATTGACTCGCAATAAAATATGTTGCGCTTGGATCCTGACGAACGGCACATGATTACCTTAATAGTCAATCGAGATTTTTGTGCCCGTCGGATCGCTCAACAAAGGGTTTTTTTTTTGGCTTGTAAAAAAATAAAAGAAAAAGAAAAGAAACATCTAATTCGATTTGTTGCTATGCGACCGAACGCGCAGCGCTGTTAGGTTAAACAGCACAATCCCGTGCGCCTGTCATCACGACATGAAAGCACGATCGTTTTTGCACGATAGAATATGCGAAGATTATAAACCAAAAAACACATTAGCAGGAGTGCAAGATAACCGGATGTGGGAGATCCGTTCAGAACGCTTTACATGTTGGAATCATCAATGATTCTGTAGGCCAGTAATCGTTGTAGATATGAACATGGTAAAATCAGCTCGCCAAAATGAACGTACATTGGCATCCGCCCTAACATTTAGCGATAAACGATGTTACCGCATCATAGCCTGCTCACTCTTCGTTAGTGATCAACCATAAAAAAGAACCTAGCTTCTGAGGTGTGAAGTCACTGATTGGTGTTGCCTTCTCGACCTCTGATATATATAAACAATTAGCTTCACACAACTTAAACCTCAATGGCACGTTTAAACAGCGAACCACTAGTTGAATCAGCTAGGCAACATCCATAATGAAATGTTGGCGTCTCATAGGATAATGCGACTCACGATTAGTGTGAGGATACGCAGTTCCACCTTTAACAATTCTCTATCATATCCAGTGGCGGAACCAGCGATTTTGATTAAGGAGACCGGACAAATATGATGAGACTTTTAAACGTGGTAAATATATAGGTAAGTATAAGTTTCAATAATTTTTTAAATATTTTTATATACCTAGTTAGTATTCACGACAAAAAAGTCATAATATATTGCAATGAAAAATGGGTATGGCTTAATGTGCTATAAAGTGACCTGCCCATGCTGGCCCCTGGTTAGGACACTGATCATATCACCATCTTCTTCAGAGTTACCCCTTTCTATCAGCATCGACTCCCAAGGGCCGAAGGGCGAGCCACCTACACCATTGGGCAAGTAGCTGCTTCTAGGCCCATCATTACGAGGACCAATCCATCTCTCGAATGGTCTGAATTCTGTGACCTAAGCCAGAGAAGTTGCAATTCCTTTTAGAATATGGTCCTGAATCCCCCACCACCCCAACAAATTGAAAAAATGCATACTATCATACAGCAGCTATCTATGAAAATTAAGATAATCACTTCGTGGAATCACCGGCATCGAAAGAGGGAGAGGGGAAGAGTTCAGAACCATTAAAATGTTTAGTATAAGAGAATGGGTGAGAATAAGCATACAAACGTTCCGTACATCATTCACGTAGTTGCATACAACAATGCATGTTGTCAGTCGTTGAATTTACCTTATTGGATCGAAATGATTGCTCAATTTGCCAAAGCTTCGGCCTCCGGATTGTATGCCACCTGCTTAGAACAAATCGTAGTAAAAAAAGTGAAAAGTCCCTTAGCTCTGTCATATAAAGTAATGCTGACGGTCTAATAAATACCTTGATGGCGTGACATGAGCATTTCCACAAAGAACTCCCCGTGCCGTACAGAAGCAGCAATGAGCTGTGCTATGTTTTCTGAGTAGTATGATGCGATTGGACTACCAGTAAGAAGACAATCCACCTCACTCAAATATGATACCACAGCCCATGCATCATCAACAGCTTCACTGTCAATGAAATCAATACCTGCAAAACAACAAATGCCAACTATTAGGTAAAATCCATTTAAATGATAGTGAACAAAATGAATCAGTAAAACATTTATCAGCAAAAATGAATCAGCAAAAGCAACGGCCCTAAATTATAGATGAGATTTCAGTAGACCCAACAGATATGCTTGTTAACGCATTTTAGTGAAAGAGAATATCCCATTTGCTACTTTTGACAAATGAAAGAACGGTAGCAATCTCCAAGGTGAAAACATGTATGCAACATACATGGATCTACGCACTATTATTCAGTGCTCAAGCAAAAGATATATTTCTGCCCTTTCAACTACCAGCACTTCGTGTAGAATATATTCTGCACTTTCAACTAGCAGCACCGTTTTTTGCCTTTTGCTTTCAAACCTCCTTGTGCTTTCATAGTGGTCAATGCAGTTATGGAGGGGGGATATTGAGAGACCAATTTGAGATGTGCCTTCATCACTTCGTGTGTGATGAATGATTCACATGTGTAAAGAGATTTAGTATTGCCTAGCTAAGCAAGAAAGTCCATAGCTGCAGTTACAAAATGCATCATATTATCATCAAGACATAATTGAAAGAGAGGACCAAATGCATATCATCGAATGCTATTGCCATGCATGCTAAGAAGCATCAGTCCCCAATTTCCGAATGCACAAATGTGCAGTGTCCCAAAGATATTTCTAGCATGCTTATCCGGGCAGCATAGCAGTAGAACAATAAGAAAGTTCTGTTGAATACCAATAAAAAGTGTGAAAGTTGACCCAAATTTTAGGAATGTCAGTTACAGCAAAAAAAAAACCCTGGGAAACAACAATATGAGAAGCACTGGTTGTCTGGCCCACGCCAGCCGCTTCTGGCATTGTCATGACTACTGAAGCGGCAGGCTTATCTCCACAGACCACAATCCACATAGAGGCAGGTCGAAAGAAGGGAAAGCTGTAGAGGCATATTTTCCCCATTCAGATAGGTACGTATAGCACAAGACACAAGAGGTAAGCAAAGGCATGACCGCATGAGGATGAAAAAGGAGACAATGTGGTCATGTGGAAGTGCTGAACCAAGCGGGGAGACAGAGTGAGCACCTTGTGAAGGGACTGGGAGGATCAGATGATGTAACGGTGGCATAGGGATGCGGCGGTAAACGAAAGGAGAACTAGAAAGGTACTGCTGGAACCTGAAGGGAGGACCGGTGGAGGCAAAGGCAAGAGGGTTGAGACCTTGAAGGGGCAGCAGGGAGAGGATCTGTGGTGCTGATACAAAACGTAACAGCCAATAGAATCAGAGGCGACATCAATGTCTCCTGCTTAATGAAAACGTGCCACGGCACGCGAAAAAAAAAGAGGCAACATCAATGTCAAAATAATATAGCTGACATGAGTCAAATACAGTGGGAATTAGAGGGGAGGGGGGATGTTGTTCCTGATCACTAACCTTTTCCTGGCGTTCTGAGCAAAGGCATGCCTGGCATCCGAGAGCACACGTAGGGCTGTTTAGTTCATCACCAGGCAACTCTGCCTGGCGCTCTGAACACTCCCAGGCGTTCAATCCAGAGTGCTCCCAAGCGTTCGATTTCGAGTTGCCTGGGGCTCAAACAATTGCCCCCAAAACATTGTTTACTGCTATTGCATGAAATTCATAATTTCATGTATGTGCAAGACCCTCATTCAGATATCACATTAGTATGGAGAAAAAGAGTAGCTCTTGCACAAGCAAGCAAGCAAGCAATCTGATGCTGCTTCTGAATCGAAGACCGTAGGCAATATTGGAATCGTGAAGAAAAGACACAACTATTATTGCTGTCTAATAAGTGTTGAAACTTTGAGAAAAAAAAAGGTAGCAGCTATATCTCGATAAACTCCTAAAATAAGAACCAAATATATTAAAAAACTTGTTTAGCTTCTTGGCAGCCATCCCCGACAGCATCAAGTCCCACTATGGTGCATTGGTGCCGCTGGCTGGTGGTGTGTCTTCGTGCTTCTCCTCCTGCTCTTGTTCCTCCTCTTCCTCGTCATCAGTGGCCTCGTATTCGGCATAGCCTTTGGCCTCCACCTCATGCCTCAGTTTGTCTTGGAGGGCGCTTATTCTGTCCAAAAAATGCCTGGTAAAGACATTACTTACCCTGGACTGTCTGCACCGTCTCCATCGGCACCAGCACCTTCTTCTTATTCTTCCTCTTTCCCAGTGTCTCCTTCCCCTCCTTTTTATTGCCCTCTTCATCTTCGTCACTGCTTAGGCACTCGAACTCGTCTTCATCGGGGATTGGTCTTCTGGCGCAGAGTTCATCCAGATCCACCCTTGCTTTCTGCAGCTCCTCATCGGAACAGAGCCTCGACGACGAGCTAGCCATCGCCTCGTCGGCCGATCGATAAGTCGACTTCGGATCTCCTCCCTCGCGATTCGATCTCGCAGCACCGTGCAATTCGATTTAACGGATTGGCTCAGCGAAAATCAGGATCCCGTGGACGCGTACATATATACTAGCTCCTCCCTGTTCGTTCTCAGAGATCGATTCCGAGTTTCCGACAGACCAGACCAGGACACGAAAAAATCGCACCAACACCGCCTCGGACTGGACTTACTCTGCACCGTGACTATCCCCATTGTACGTTCAGAAAGTCCTAATCCCCACGAGGCAAACTAATGTGGGCATGTGGCTGCATCAGCTAACTTCAGTTCGCCTAGTCTATACTCTACTATACGGGCTTGGTTGTGGACATCAGCCTGCAGGCTCAATACAGTATTAAAGTATGCCAAATTTAGATTTACACAAGCCGATGAGGCACACAATAATGAAATATTATCACCTCCACTACCTCTACTAGAAATAGGAGACCTCAACTAGCAGCCTGTTCGCTTGCTCGTAAACGATCGTAAGTTTTCAGTCAGCAACAGTGTTTTTCTCTCACACCAAACCAGCCAGCAGTAAATAATCCATGATACGATACGGCCTCCCGAACATGCTGTAGAACTTGGAGGTGGCTACATCCAAGATAATTGTAAGCAAACAAGCATAATCACCAAACACAGCTTGGCTGTGCAGGACAACCAACCACATTGCATATATATGTTTATTTACTACATTGGATTGTAACCAATCACACCATACAACATTGATATAGCTGCACCTAAATCCCAGCTCAATCACACTGTGAGAACAGATAAGGTTAGCAGCAGAGCGAAACCATCAGTTGATGCAGGAACATCCCATTCTGAATTTTAACAGTCCATTTCACATTCCGAAGCACCAGATAGTGTGACAGACGATTGACAGTTAATACGATTGCCTATCGTGTTCTCGGATTCTCAAAACGTTCGTCATGTCAGTGTCGCGAAGGCACACCTGAATGACCGACTATGAGGACGCGCACTTGGCCGAAGGGACCGACGCCGTTCTGATCCCAGCCGCTGCTGCTCCGGTTGCCGCTATCCTTCCAAAACATCCCCTCCGCGCCTCCGCCGCTCGTACCGACGGCGCAGACAAAAAGGCCCGGTGGTTAGGCCTCCGGATCAGGCGACGGCTAGGCGAGTGCGTGCGGCACGACATGAAAGCACGACCGTGTTCCCTTTTTTTTTAGGGGGGGGGGGGATAGAAGAACATATACGAAGATGGGCCAAAAAAAAAAGGCACACGCACATTAGCAAGAGTGCAAGGGATCATCGAAGACTTTGTAGGCCAGTAATCGTTGTAGATATGAACATGACAAAATCAGCAAGTCAAAATGAACATTCATTGGCATCCGCCCTAACATTTAACGATAAACAATGCTACTGCATCATTGCCTGCTCACTCTTCGTTTTTTTTCTGAAAAGTTAAACTGCTCACTCTTCGTTAGTGATAGTGAGCAACCCAAAAAAAGAACCTAGCTTCTGAGATGTGAAGACACTGATTTGTTGCTGCCTTTTCGAGCTCTGATATAAGTGCAACAATGAGCCTCACAAAACTTAGATATCAATGGCACCTTTAAACAGCGAGCCACTATTTGAATCAGCTAGGCAACATCCATAATGAAATGTTGGCATCCCATTAGTGTGAGGATGCGCGGTTCCACTTTAACAATCTTCTATCATATCGTCCTCTTCAGAGTTATTTCCATCAGCGACTTCCAAGGCCAAGCCACCTACGCCATGGGGCAAGCAGCTGTTTCTATGCCCATCATTACGAGGGCCAATCCATCTCTCGAATGGTCTGAATTCTGTGACCAAGTCAGAGTAGTTGGAAAAACCACACGTCCTTGAAGAATCAAATCTTTCCTTCAGAATGTGGTCCTGCATTTTCCCCCAAATTGAAAAAAAAAGGCATACTATCATACACCAGCTAGTAATGAAAATTCAGATAATCACTTCGGTGGGAATGACTGGCATCTAAAGAGATTGTTATGAACTTCCATCCACACAGCTTATAATGTACTAAAAAGCATGCTAAAACAAGCATGGAGAGAAGAATTTAAGAACGGATTGACTTCAGAAGGCACAAAAAAAAGAGTTCCGGGAACCATGGAAATGTTAGTATGATATAAGAAAATGGGTAAGGATAAGCATACAAACTTTCCGTACATCATTCAGGTACTTGCGTAAAACATGCATATTGTCACCTATTGAATTTACCTTATTGGATCGAAATGATTGCTCAATTTGCCAAAGCTTCGGGCTCCGGATTGTATGCCACCTGCTTAGGACAAATCATAGTAAATAAAAAAAACAAAAAGTCCCTTAGGCTCTGCCATATAAAATAATGCTGACGATCTAAATACCTTGATGGCGTGCCATGAGCATTTCCAAAAAGAACTCCCCGTGCCGCAACAGAAGCAGCAATGAGTTGTGCTATGTTTTCTGAGTTGTATGATGCGATTGGACTAGCAGTAAGAAGACAATCCGCATCACTCAAATATGATACCACAACCCATGCATCATCAACAGCTTCACTGTCAATGAAATCAATAACTGCAAAACACCAAATGCCAACTATTAGGGTAAATCTATTTAAATGATGAGAGAGAACAAAATGTATCAGTAAAAAAAATTAAGCGAAAATGAATCAGCAAAAACAACGGCACAAAATTACAAAATGGGGTCTTCAGTGGACCCAAGATATATGCTTATTAACGCATTTTAGTGAAAGTAAATATCATATTGCTACTTCTGATAAATAAAAGGATGTTAACAACCTCCAAGGTGAAGACACGTATGCAGCATATAACAGTAGTTCGTTAGACTCTGGATCTATGTAATATTATTCTGTGCTCAATTAAAAGATAATATATTTCTGCCCTTTCAACTACCAGCACTGTTATTCGTGTAGCATATATTCTGCTCTTTCGATTACCAGCAATGTTATTCATGTAGAAATGAATATGGAATTTTCTTATACTTCGTTAGTATGATCAAATGGCGTGTACAATAAATTTCGAATGTTATACAATGGTCATACTGCATTAAATAAGCCAAAATTAATGTGAATGCCTGATTAAAGCAGTAAATTTCAAATGTTCCACTTCATCTGCAGTACTGTTGGAAAGGCAAGAAATAATGTTTCACACATTGGCATAGACTCAACTGATAACACCAGCAGACTTAAGGAAAACATAACAATGCTGCACCATTCTACTTCAAGTACCTTCAACACTCGTAAAAGAACAAGATAAAACTTGAGAGAGGGAAACACAGCATACGCTATGAGGTATTCTGTACACCTTGATAGATAGTTACTTACCATTTTCATAAAGAAAATCCGCAACTGTCTGTACTTTTCCGTGTGCTTGTGAAAGAATCTTTTCTGGAACATCCATTTGGAGTGAATTTCTTCTTAGGTTTTCTTTAAGAGGAAATGGATCCAGGTCTACAGATGAAATATTAAAAATTTCAGGGAGCAAAAAGAAAATTAAACACAAATGAGGAACACATTATGAAACACAGTATGGAAACCATCGACCCAATAATGAACTAGTCAGTTCAAACTGAAGGCATACCATATAGTTGTAGCGTTGTGTAACAACATGTCAGTAATTGAAAATACAGAAGTTTAAGAGCTTGGATATGTAGGAGCAAATACTAGACGATGAATTAATGCAAAATAATTTAATAAATAAAACACTAATTCCAACCCTGTAAAGTGCAAAAAATACTCTGAAATTAAAGTGAATTGTTGGATTATTGAATGTGGATATTATAGTTAAAGAAATCCAATGCAAATCCTAAGAGGGACAGAAGTGCCCAAGGCACCATCTGATTGCAGAGATTTCTCCTGAGTCTTGTGAGAATTGAACTATTTCTCATGAAATTCCTGCATTCTAAGCAGGCTCTAATGGAGAATCTACGTGTTCAAATTAGATCCTGTGAACTGAAAAGGATGCACAGCCATTGCCTAATAAACAATTCAGAACGAAGAAAATAAAAACTAGTGTGCAAAAATGTGCTAACAGTTCAAGTAGATTTCAATGGACAAACAAATCAATAGAAAAAATGCTAGAATATATTTATGTGAAAAAAATACCCTTGGTATTTAATTTTTTTCAAGGAAATAGTACATAGTTCTATCACAATATGAAGACACAAATATTTTCTTGGGAATTAAAGAACTTTGTGAAGTCAGCTTTTTGATAGGGCAAGATAGTTCTTACATACCGTACCAACATCACTATTAGTTTCCCTCTTGTTGTGCAAAAAATTTCCCCAAGGCATGAAATAGTGAAAGTGTCTCATCCCTTCCACATGGGGAGGGTAGTGCACTGCTAGGGCCATAGCTCTCATGCCTGGAACCAGAGAATCATGGCTCTTTGAACCAGTACGATTAGAACTTGTTGCCAATGCAGAACTATGCCTTCTGGGATCAAGACAATAGTATTGAAGAGACATTATTGCATGTCTGATATCACCTCCACTAGAGGTTGCCATTTGATGCAATAATTCTTCAGATGCATTACAGCTTTCTTTTTTGCAAATTCGAACAAGGATTTTCTTGATAGAATTTGTGGTTACCGGATTGAAAGCAATCTGCAAGAAAATGTGCTGCACTATGAGAAAAGGCAGTCTTAAAAACTTAATTAGTGGTCATCATCAAATCTGTCAAACATTTGATCGTATACCTTGTGAGCACCAGCATCTTGAAGTAAGGACTCAAGGTCCTCAGACTTCCACATTGCAGTATCGTTATTCTCACTTTTGTGATAGTGAGTGAGTGAAATGACAGTTGGTACTTGAGTACTTCGAATTAAACCAGTTAAGCATTTTCCTAGTCTTGCAAAAGCAACACTTCCACTTGTTACAGGGATGTCATCAATCAAAATGATAATGAGCTTCCTTTGGGACTTGGTATTGGTTGGACAAAGCATTGAATACTTCCTTATCTTCTCCACAAAGGTTTCAAATTCTTCAAGCTTGGATATATAGTGTAATCCTTGAAACAACCATTGAAGAAAACTATATAAATTATTTGTAACTGAAAAAACTGGAATGCTTTGACAATGTGCTTCTATGGACATGAGTACGATAGAAGTATGTGGATGTAGACTCTGCATCGGTTCTTTCAATTGCAACAAATAAGAGTTAGAAAGCATAGTTAGACAACAACACATACTAACCGCTACCTGAATTAGCATGAACATGTTCAGCCCACAGTGTTGGTACTGGAGTTGTCCACTCACATAAGTCCGCTCCAAGGTCATCAGCGATTGCTTTCACAGTTGCCTGGGAGAAATTATCATTACTAGCAAGTACAGTTCCAGAGCAACAGAATCAAGTTATCCACTATGGATAGCATAGTGATTTTTCTATCTCTACGTTCACCTATGTATTCTGAAGGAACAAGAACTAATACCCAAAAATAAAAACGCCCCCAACCCCTCCAGAAGAAAGATTGAAGGAACAAAATCAAAGAAAGAAATGAATTAAACTGTGTGATACTATAAGCAGGATATTATCAGAAATTGAGTGGTGTCATTGTTTCTTTGTCTTGTGTGTGTGTGTTGGGGGAGGGAGGGGGGAGCATCCACATGATCAGATTCTTAACTACGGCAAAATGAAAACTTTAGAGCTGTCAACCTGTTATGGCGAGCAGTGGTTCATGATGCACCAAATCACATCCAGCAAACTAGGGATTGAACAGGTCTACTGAACAAACTAACAGCTGGACTTAATCAAATTGAGCCCAAACTCGCTTCCATCATTTGGGTACAAAATTTTCAAAGTGCGAGGGAAGGACGTACTGATTTTCCAACACCAGTTTGCCCAGTTAGGACAAGGGTCCATCCTCCAACCGTTGTCTGCAAAATTGCCTTTGCACTATTAGTATTCCTCTATCCTCAAAAATTGAAATATATAAAAATTATAAATGGAAAAGGTAACTGACTAGAGTAGATATTTGGTCATTTTGAATCTTCTACAACTACAACAGTAATAAAAATCACAAAATAATAATGCAGTTCAAAATTTACACAAGTTTTATCAATGCAGACAACTCCTGTCAGGCAGTCACTATGGGAAAGCTCAAGGATTGTGCTTGATTCCTAACAATTCAAACATTCACATATCAAGGAAAAGAGTTCCTGATTATTCATGTGCTTTTCTGAGATACTCTAGCATGAGGTGATGCCTGATTGCAACATTATTATTACAATCCAGATGCTGGTTGAATTGTACTGCCAGGACAGGCATACACAAAAAAATATATATATCAAAGTTCTTCACGGGGTCAAGTCCCCATCCCATTTTGAACCATCACATAACCAGAAAGGGAAAACCACAAAAAAAAATAGTTCCATCTGGTTTGCAGCAATGAATATTCTGACAACCTAACAATTCTGATTATACACTTATTCACATGATCTCGCTGAATATGTGTATTAGCCAAATTGGTTGGACTATATTCCACTAACTAACTATAACTCACAATTGAATTTGTTTCAATTCAAAATAATCACCTTTGGTGCCTTCAGCTTCTCTTCCAACCATTTTTTTACATCTTCAATCTACAAGAATAAGACTGTGTGACATATCATGTAAGTGAATTCATATTCATTGCTCATGCATGGTGACAAATTATGAAGAAACTGAAACAATAAATCAACACCCTGATATATTGACATTTTAAAAAATATGGATGAAGAGGATACATAAAGTAGGCAATACAATAGATTGAGTATATCCTATCAAAGGATGAGCTAAGTTAAAGGTTAACAAAGGTATACAGCATAACATGTGTTGTGAGTTTGTAACAAAAAGAACCGACCTTCTTTTTATGAACAGCAAGCTCAGCCAATGAGTGGGGTGTGTACTTGTCAACCCAAAGCTCTTTCGTTTTCCGTATAAACCCTGCCTAGAAGTAGGCTAATCAGAGAGGAAAGTGAAATGGTGAAACTTCACATTCACAAGGGTCTGTGACCACCACAAAATCAAATCAGGAAAGAAAGAAGAGATTGGCCAAGACAAAGGTTCCACGTGAAGACAGGAAATTGCAGGTTCATCTAAAAGCAAAAGCAAAAAAAAAAAAGGAAAAAAGTGAGGCTATATGTTGATCTTGATATTTTACTTGCCATGAGCGACAAAAATATCCCTCTGAAGTCTGAACTGTATTTTTTCCATACAGTTAATGATCTATCAATGTATCAGTAGTGCACCTTTGTATCGAAATCTTCTAATATCCAATACATTCAGCCAACTTGTATGTCTTAAATATTCATTCCATGAGAAGATTCCCTTGATAAGGATGAAAGGCTTAGCATGACAACTAGTTTGTTAAAGGTGTGCTGTGTCCTCCTAAATTGCTGGTGCTAGTGGTTTTACCACCTGTTCTCAATTTTATGGCAAATTTAAATAGAAAATGATGTGGCTATCTAAGAAGCTTTCACAAGGTACACAAAAAAAACAGCAGGAATGGGGGTGAAGGAGATGTAGTTATTCAGCATACGTTGACACTATTTGTTATTATGTTTTCTGGGGCAGTTCACCTTGCTAATTTATCCTAAAACTTGTTTAGGTCGTGTAAATCTAGGAATCATACTTCCATCCTTGAAAACTTTCATAATGGCATCATCTAGAGCTGATTCAACTTCAAATTTAACAGTTAGTACCAATCCAAACAAAGCAACATAGGTTACTAAACGCCATCACCTACAAGAATACTTAAGCAAACTATCTATCCTGTAGCAATCGTGAGCCGTATTATGCCTTTGTATTGTCATGATACTATATTGACTAGATACGATAGGTAGGGTAGTTCTCGAGCTAAGCTCGCTGCCAGCCACTGAACATCGCCAGACAACACAGTTCAGTTCAGAGCTTTAGTACAGGTTCAGCTCACATAGCAAACAGAACTCTCTCTCACCAATGCTGAGATTAACAGGCACTCATTCTGAGCCTTGGTACCACGGTTGGGCTGCAGTCGCAGTGCGCGAGGCCCAGCTGCTTCTCAAACTGAAAGCGCCAATAGGGAAAAAGATTCAGGAGTTTTCTCCCGATCTTGAGACAGCAGTAATTCCCTTGCCTGATGTTGCCACAGGTTGACTGGCTTGTCTCTGAAATGAATAACCGCAGCAGTATAGTGCTAACTTCAGTGCGAAGATCAACATAGGTATTGGGCATCCTTTTTTGTTCCATGTCTCATAGTCTACTTTGCATGGTTTCCCAACAGTATTTAAGATTTAACCATGCAATACCATGTGAGCATGGTGACTCGGGTCATTGAGTACCGTTATACAATGTTTCCAGACCAGTACAAACAAAGAGACAACTCAGAGCTGCTATCGAACAGCAACCAACTCAAGTAGCAATACATGCCATGTACATTGGATGCTTACAGTATGTCCTGTTTGGGAGCTTTATCAAAAGAAAACTCTATGTTCATAATTTTTTGTCTAGTTATATGGAATTCAGAATACAATCTAAAGAAATATACAGTTATACAAGAAAAGAGATGAAAAATAAATATACCTGGCATGCTGAAGTCATTAAAACATTCTGAAAAAATCTTCAGAGAGCATGTCAAATTCAGCCTTTTCAGATAAGAGAAAAAATATCAGTAATCAATTAAACAAAAGGATCAGCTCAAGTTAGAAAAGATTGAACGCTAACAGACAAAGAAAATCATATAGCACTAAGAACAAGTTCAACGCTAACAGACAAAGAAAAATCATATAGCACTAAGAACAAGTTAAGACAGGAAATCCATCTATATTGTTTTATCCCTGTTTGTGCCAAACTAGCTGTTCATTTTCAGTTGCTGGCGAGCTGGAATCAGCTTGTGAGTTAATCATCAACATTTATTATAGTGAGAATTTGGTTCAGAAGCTAAAAGATCTCAAAATATAACCATTGTTCCATTTGCGATTTAGATGAAAATGAAATGAGTAATGAGGAGCAAATCTAAGTAGATACATGTATATAGAATCAATGTTTTCCATATTGACTTACATCAGCCTTCGAGCTAAAATGCTAAAGGACATGTCTCAGGATGGGACAGCCTAGATTAACCAATCAAATATGCATCATATGAAACTGACCAGGAATTCATAGGCTCGACTGTGATAATAAAACTTGAAACTTATGTGTTCAGCATCCAATTTTAGTGGTAAAAGATGAGACTATTAAAATGGACTAATAGCGAACGAAATATCGTGCTAACTAGGCACGTAACAACAAAATCGCCCAACCAAAATCAGTTCGAGTCTATCACCTTCGAGGAGTCGGACGGCGCGAGTTTAGAGGGGCGGCGACGTCCTCTCCCCGCGCTGCTCTCGCGGCGCGGCTTTTTCCTCGAGGCGCCTGCTGCCTGAGCCTGCACCTGGGCCGGAGCCGTCGCGGCCGTCCTCGGCTTCCGCGCCCGAGGGCCGCGGCGCCCCCCGCCGTCATCTTCCCCAGAGGAAGAGGACAGAACAACTACCTGCGGTCGCTTCCCCATTGGTGGAATGGCTTGGTGGAATGGTGGCGGCGGGCATAGCAATTTCAAGGGCAAGGGCTAGAGATCGGAAATCTGCACGACGAGCGAGATTGTGGGGGTTTGTTTTCCTCCTCCGCGCTTGGGGTGGGAGGGGTTTGGCAGGGTCTAGTCGGGGAGGGAAACCAGAGAGAGAGAGGGAGAGAGCGGCGCGCCGGCGCCTTCCAGGAGAAGGAAGTGAATTCCTCCTCCAGTGACAAGGAGGTCCGGATCCTCTGCGGCCGTCCACGTGAATATTCGCACACTCCTCAGTTCTGTGTTTCGGACATTTTGACTTTAGGTCCTTATTAATCATTTGTTTGTATCATTATATGGAGTATATAGGAGTAGCTTTTTATGATACAGCTATACTTTCATAGTTTTGAAAAGGATTTTCAAAGGCAGTTTTAGTCTTATATACATACTGTATACTAGTTTTGCACAGAATTTTTTGATAGCTTTTGTATGGTTAAATAAACTTTTTAGGGCTCAATCAGGCGGTTCATACTACAGATTAAGAGAAATGGGAATATTGGTCTTACCATAGTTATAGTTACTTAGAGCGTCTGCAATAATTCTTACATATATAAATCGAGGAGTTTTCAAGTTGCTAAAAGAAGTTAGTTTATGAAAATTGTAATGATATTTTTTCGTTTACATAGACGGTATCACGGTACAACAATACTTTCATAGTTTCATGAATAGGTTTTCCAAATACAAATTTAGTCATTATTTGTTGATTTTGCATAGAAGATTTTAATAATTTCTTACATGGTTAAACTTTTGAAGCCTCAATCACATTGTTCATACGATAGATTAAGAGAAAGAGAAAATTGTTCTACAATAGATATAAGGATGTGTCCGATTGGATAAGAGGTGCGTAGAATACCTCACTTTGTTCTTGTACTTGGTTTAGGGATGAGGAAAAGAGGCGTCCCCAGAGCATAATATTCATCTAGATTAAGAGACTCAGTCACCCCCCATAAAGTGAGGCACACGCTCGTCCCTTGACAACACTGGCTATACGTCTTCCCCTTCCTTTTCACATGTGCAAGGGTGCCGGTCGGGAAGTTCGACTACAACACTGAGCTCGGCTCGAATGCGAGCGAGTGACCTCGCCCCCAGTGTGGGTGGCCATGGCTAGGGCGAGCGAGGTGGGTGATGACGGACTAGACGAGGGCAGGGGTCAATGGCGGGTGGGGCAGCACCGGGGCCGATGTGGCGAAGATGAAGACGGGCTAGACAGTCGAGGCTGGAGGGGAATGGTCAACCGTGTGGAAGAAAAAGGTGTGAGAGAGGATGACATGTGGTGCCACTAAATGAATGTCTAAGGAATCAAATATGATGATGTATCCTCTTCATCCTCATTCCTCCAACAAAAGACGGAGTGAAAGTGCATTTGCCCCCCAATGTGGGTTTTAGTGTATTGATGACATCCAAATTAGGGACTAATGTGATCTTAATGAGATATATCGCAGCTATTAGTCCCGTGAAAGAATCAAAGAGTTGGTAAAGATGAAATGGTATCCCTTAATTTTTGAAGTTGTAAAGGTGGACGAACTCAAAGCTCTCTCCAAAGGTTTTATTTTTGCTTTTGAGTTTATAATCCACCGCACTATAAAGAGGGATGAAATTTTAGTTGGTCTGAGGAAGATAGAGTGCTCAAGCATAGTAATTAAATCAAAAGAGAGACACTCTAGCACTTCACGAGCACATAGAATTATTTTCTGTGACTGTTGGTGTCAGAAGTCCCGACGTAAGCCGGAACTCCCGACAGTCGGAAGTCATGACTCTTGCCGGAAGTGCTGACTCCCACTCACTTAGCCTATGCGGTGACTGTGGACGTCGGAAGTCCTGACCCAAGCCGGGAGTCCTGGCATCGATGGTTCTGCTGGCCTACTGTCTGTGCACGTCGAAACTCCCGACGTACGTCGGAACTCCCGACGTACGTCGGAAGTTCCGACTGTAGGAAGTCCTGACCCATGTCGGGAGTCCCGATACCCGTTGCGGGCTGGCTGGATGTTTAACTGCGCTCGTCGGAAGTCCCGACGTTCGTTGGAAGTTCCGACCGTCGGAAGTCCTGACGTTTGCTGAGAGTTCTGACACTGACCTGCACGCGCGGACTTCCAGCCCTTTGTGAACAGTGTTTTCTGTTAACGTCGGAGTCTCGAGATCTGCGTCGGAACTTCCGACGTAGATCTGAACGGTTAGATTTTCACTTGGAGTATAAATACCCCTCTCTTCACTTCTAACTGTTACGGACTCATTCTCAGCTGACCCACTTCGTGCTCAACAGCTCCCAAGCAACTAAAGCTCTCCTCTCCTTCCCTCTTTGCTCTAATCTTCGATTCCCTTAGGGTTTGAGTGAAAGGAGAGTGGATTAAGTGAGAGCATCACTTTGGAAAGCATGAGCACTTGATTTCTCCGTCAAGCCGGTTGATTTTGCGTCTATTACTCTTGGGGCTTTGCCCCTAGCCTGCTAGGCGTTGCCCAAGAGCTTCCATCTTGTGGAAGAGCCTTGGGAAATTTGTATCACCCTTCGATTTCTTAGTCGAAAGCTCAAGTGACCTTTGTGGTCGCTTTGAGAGAGGCAAGGAGGTGGAATAGACTCCGACCTAGGTGGTCACCTCAACAACGAGGACGTAGGAGCTCCTTTGCGGGGTTGCCGAACCTTGGGATAAATCCTTGTGTCCTACATGCTTGTTGTTGTTATTGTGATTGGTTGAGATTACTTGTATGTGTTTGTCTCTTTGTCTTCCAAATCTCCATTTTAGGGCTTGGATTCGATCTACGGTTTGGAGGCATTACAACGTCAAGGAAGTGACCCAACATCTTCACCAAACCACTAGGAAGTGAGGTTATAAGATTATTCATCCGCAAAGTTAAATTTGGCACTGCTTTTGTAGTTCACGTAGGCGTCGGAATTGCTAACGTTTGCGCCGGAACTTCTGACAACGTCGGGAGTTCCGACCCAAACGTCGGGACTTCCGACAGTGACTGACAGATTTGAACTTAGCATTTGCAGTAAATTTTTAGATATGTCTATTCACCCCTCATCTAGGTATTGTTAGATCATTTCAATTGGTATCAGAGCAAGGTCTTCTCTTTGCGCTTCACCGCATGAGAAGAAACAATGTTGGAGTCCGACAAGATGCAAGCCGTTGTCGTCGAAATGGCCAAGAAAATAGCTGAAGAGTTGATGAGTGCTCAAGCCAAGCTCTTTCAAGATGAAATGAAAAAGATGCAAGATGAGATGAGCAAGTTGAAGGAAGAATTGAGCAAGAAGGTTGATGATGCAATAAGTGGCAAGAATGATACTAGTGACAAGAATGAAGCAAACAAAGATGCCGCTAGTGATATTGGAGCCGATGAGCAAGCTCATAGAAAAGGAATATATTCAAACATGAGTTTTGACTATGGACAACTCATGAAAGGTTCAACACTACATACTCCGTCCATCAACATTGACAAGCCACCTCACTTAGATGGAACAAGATACACCGATTGGTCTTACAAGATGAAGATGCATCTAATTGCCGCAAGACTTTGGGAAGTTGTGGATGTTGGTGTGATGATTCCTACCGATGAAGATAGAGAGATAACTCCAGAAGAAGTGCACAACCTCCATCAAAATACACAAGCCGTAGCTTTGCTTGTGTCAAGCCTAGCTCCGGATGAGTTTAGAAAAGTGAATAGAATAGAAAGTGCAAAACAAATTTGGGATACTTTGAAAGTATCATTTGAAGGAGATAAAAGTGTGAGAAAAGGCAATATAGAGTTACTTCATGGTGAATTGGAAAGATTTGTTTTCTTATAAAATGAAACAACACAATCCATGTTTGATAGGCTCATGGCATTAGTCAACCGCATAAGAGCTCTTAGAAGCACCGAATGGGATGACAACAAGGTTGCTAGAAAGATGTTGAGAACCTATAGAGCTAAGAACAGTATGCTAGCATCCGTGATCATAGAAAGGCCTGGTTATGATGAGCTGACACCTCAAGAAGTTCTTTTAAAGCTCAAGCATCATGAGTGTCTAGATGAAGATACAATCAATGCTCACAATCAAAATCCTAATACAATGGGATTCAACAAGAGTGCAGCCCTTAAAGCAACTCAACAACATGAAAGTCAAGAAAAGAAGAAGAAAGTAAAGGATGATTCCTCAAGTAGAGAAGAAGATTTCGATGCGGAGGTTGCATTTGTGATTAGAAATCTTAGAAAGTTTATGAAGAAGAAAAGCAACCGCAAGACCTATGGTGATGGTAAGAGAAGGTTCAAAAAGAGATTTTGCTATGGATGTGGTCAAATCGGTCACTTCATAGCCGATTGTCCTAATGGGAAAAAGAAGCACAAGCATGACAAGGATGAAGACAAGAAAAACAGAGGCAAGAAGAGAGGTGAAGCTCATCTTGAGGAAGAATGGGAGTCAAGTGATAGTAACTCAAGTGATGATGAGAAGAAGAAGAAGGGAGCCACAAACATCGCCATCCACCACTCTTCTTCACCAACCATGATCTTCCCCGACTCAACTTCACCACCAAAACTCTTCTCCAACCTATCTTCACCACCGAGGCTCTTCTCCAACCTCATCGACAACGACTACTACACCCCAACTTGTCTTATGGCAAAAGGGGAGAAGGTACATACTACACCCGTTTCCTCTAGTGATGAGTATGATAGTTGTGATGATAACATAGAAGAAATTGAAGCAACCATGATAAAGAAATTTAGTAAAAATGCCTTCACTAAAATAAAAATGCTAATGAAGAAATTAGAGAAGATGGATAGATGCTTAGAGTTGCAAGAAGATATAATTACTCAAGAGAGAGAGAGAAACCCTGCACTTGAAGCATCTATCGCCGAGGAAAAGATGAAGGTTGAGAAGTTAACCGTTGAATTGTCTTTGGCCAATGACTCAATTGGGAAATTGACTAAGGAACATTCCTCGGTTAAAGATCAAATAGCTAGCCTCAATAGCTAGC